AGGCATGGCGTGGAGAGCAGCTTCAAGGAGAGAAGACATTCAAATTCCCCATCCCAATGCATCACTCACAGGCATTATCAGGGGCTGTTTATTTATTATTATTATTATTATTATTATTAGTTGTGGTTGTTTTCAAGTTAAAAAAATTTTTTTAGTGTCTATTTATTTTTGAGAGAGAGAGAGATTGGGGGAGGGCCAGAGAGAGAGAGAGAGAGAGAGGGAGACATAGAATCCAAAGCAGGCTCCAGGCTCTGAGCTGTCAGCACAGAGCCCTACGTGGGGCTCAAACTCACAGACCGCAAGATCGTGACCTGAGCTGAAGTCAGTCTCTTAACCGACTGGGCCCCCCAGGCCCCCCATTGTTATTTTGTTTTTTAAAGAAAAAAACAACATTACCCCCCTGCTCGGAAATGAATGAGATGTCAACAGTCCTGTGTGTCTGGGGCTCAATAGCCCCCAGAGAACACAAGGCATGCATTTCCTGCATGTGTACGGTGGGGCCAGTGGTCACGTTCCTTAAGAACCGGGCCACAGGGATGTTTGCAAAGCAAGCTGCAGCTGCTTTCTATGTATGCAGGTCTCCTCAGTCCTCAAAATCATAGCATGCATAAAATAATTTTATGAAATCACATCTCAAGGTTCTCTGTTCATATTCATTTTCTGCTCGCTCATTCACTTTGCCATCTGTGGGAACTCATTAGCACACAAGCTGCAGCAGGTGCCAAAGGTTTAAAAAAAATTACCGGGGGGGGAGAAACTTGAAATTGATCAAATCCTACCTATCTTTTCTTTTTCCCTCCTGTAAATTGAAAAATGACAGCCATTATGTCATTTTAGGAGAAGTGTTGGTTGCTCTTTGTGGTGCTGTGGCGCTTTTGAGAAGGAAAGGTTGGCTCTTTCTGGACCAGGGAATCTTTGCCTAGCCTCAGGGCATCCCCAGGGGGTCGCAGATGGGCTCCGGGGGTCCATAACCCTCCTATAATAAAACTTATATATCTCGGTGACCATGTGCATTTTTTTTCCCCTGGGGAGAGAGCTCATAGCTTTCATTTTATTTTGAATCCAAACAAGATTAAGATTCCATGTTTGACAAGAAGAAAACAGAAAAGAAGAGAAGATAGAAAAGTGTTTTCCTTAGCCCATTGAAGCCTCATAATTACCCTGAAAACCAGGCATCATTAAATACTTGTTTAAATGCCTGACTTCCATTCTCAGCCTGCGCTCATAGACTCTATGACTCTTCTATGACTCTATGACTCCTAGACTCCCGCCAAGGGATTATTTGTTTGTTTCCTACCCCTTCTTCTTATATAGGGGGGGAAACTGAGGCCCAGAGAAGTGAAGTAGGTTGTCCAAAGTTAACTTCTCCTTCTCCTTCCATTGCAGAACTTGTAGTCGTCTGTCGACTTGTCAGAATTCCCCGCTCACATGGTAAATCCCTTGGAGGCAAGTGCCTGGCACATACTGGACGGCCAATCAATGGGAGTCACAATCAATAGTGATCCTGTGTTCTTCCTGTGTTTCCCCTTCCCAGCTACGCCAGGAAACTTGTTCTACGCAGCGTGAGGTTGCCCTGGCTGTGAGTGGATCAGGGCGGGCGGCATCCGTGGCCTCTCGGAGCCCCCTTTTCTATTCTGTAATGGGGAGCTCATGCACTGCTGTTTTCTGGAGGGCCTCACCTCTGCTTCGAGTTTAACTCTCAAAAGCAAATGAACACCTTCGAGTTTGTGGAGGAAGAGGTCCCAGGTTTCTCCTTGGGTCTCTAGGGTTAGGCAGGCTGAACTGAGCTTCCCCTGAGCGAACACAGGTACCCACCAAGATCACGCCCCTGGGTGGTGTCTACCTCCCCCTTCCGCCTTCCCAGTTCACCAAGAACCTTTCTCCAGAGACCCTCTGTGAACCTTTCTCACCAGGCGTGCTCATGAAGACTCTTACAAAAATAGCTGCAAGCTGGAAAAAGGAAAATAAAATAACTCTGTTTCTCTCTGCCAAAAACAACAAAGCAACAGTGTGCCTGCAGCCAGCTCAGTCCCTGGCATGGCTGTACTCACGGAACGGCTTATTCCCTTTCCTCTCCCTGACTGCAGCCAACTCCGCTGATTCTATTTCTGAGGTTACGTGCCGTTATTTGATTGATCGATCGATCGATTGATTAATCGATCTGGCCCTTTGAGGTCACTGATAATTCTACCTTGTGGTTTGGACTGGTGACTGTTCCAAACGCCCGGCCTTCTTCTCATCCTTTGGGCCATTCTTGGAAATGTGCCACAGCCCTAAGTCTCTTCTGTCTACCAATTGTCCCCGGGTCTTCACTAAGGAAATGATTACACACATGGCTACTTGTTTGCAATGATAAGAAAAAAAAACACCTCGCCCCTCCCAAGAATTCAGGCATACAATTGTGTCTTTGGTTAACCACTGGTTAACAGCAATCAGCAGCCGGCTATTAATTTACTCTTTCGCATTTCCTGTCTCTTTCCCTTTAAACTGGTTCAGTATGCAGGCCTGCTCCAAGATGAACAAAACCAGAATCCCCAAATCGGAAGGGGTGTGTACGTAGGTGAGCCATGAAGCAATCCAAATCCATGAGAATATTCTGTGCTCCATCACAGATTGATCTGAAGTTTTTTTTTTTTTTTTAAAGGAAGCCAGAAATCCAATGAAGCAGTTCAAATTGCAACTTAAGATATAGATTTTTAAAACATTTATGAAACTGTTAAACTGGAACAAGGCAGAAACCTCCAATAGATTCCCAACTCACTGATTAGAAATTTCATTTGTTCCTGTCCCCGATGGGAGCAGCCTGAGGACATTTGCTGTTCCTCTGTATCTGACAGTCTAGGCACCAGTAGGATATTTTCCAGCCTGATGCAGTGAGGCGTGTGTTTGTCTAAGGAGAGGGACTTCCACACTCCCTGGGAAAGTCTGGAAAAATGATTACTTTCAGTGCTTCTTTTTTTGTGTCATCTTGGTGGGTCTAGAATGGAATTATGAGCCTGGGAGCTTGGGAGTATAGCTTTGGCATGGCCACCGACTCACTGTGTGACACAAGGCAAGTCCCTCCCCGCCTCTCCCCGGTCTGCTCATTTGTTTTTGTTTTTTTTCAATATATGAAATTTATTGTCAAATTGGTTTCCATACAACACCCAGTGCTCATCCCCAAAGGTGCCCTCCTCAATACCCATCACCCACCCTCCCCACCCTCCCACCCCCGGGTCTGCTCATTTGGAAAATGAAACCCATAGTCTATATGGTCCAAAGGGCCTTTGGTAGGTAGAATAATGGCCCCCAAAGACGGCCACATCTTAATCCCTGCAACTTGTGAATATATTACTCTACATGGCAAAAGAGACTTTGAAGTGTGTGATTAAGTTAATGACCTTGAGATGGGGACATTATCACGGGTTATCAGGAGGGCCTGATCTAATCACAAGAGTCCCTCTAGAGTGGAAGAGGGAGGCAGGAGAGGGTCTAGGATAGAGGGAGATGTGACCCAGGAGGTCACGGTTGTGTGCTGTAAGGACTCCACCCATCATTGCCAGGTTGGCTGATGGAGGCAGAGGCCACCAGCCACAGAACGTGGGTGGCCTCTGGGAGCTGGAAAAGGTGAAACGGTTTCTCCTCCTGAGCCTCCGGAAGGAAGACAGCCTTGCTGACACTTAGATTTTAGCTCAGGGAGAACTGTGTCCACCTTCTGACCTCCAGAATCCGGAGACAATAAATCTGTGCTTTAAGCCACCGTGTTTGTGGTAACCTGTTACAGCGGCGACGGAAAACTAAAACAGGGCACCTTCCAGCAACCTTGCACTCAGTCCCTAAGGATTAAAGCCCAGCTTTGGCAACAGCCTTGCGCATCCCCGCACTGAAAGGGTGCTTGGGAGGAGGCATCTCAGGGATGCTGTGTCCCATCTGCCTCCTGGCCACCGCGTGTGTGAGCGTGGCTGGTCTGATTTGTCCCCCTGCGCAGGGGGAGCAGAGCCTCACATGCCTCAAGTCTGAAGGGGCCTCCGGAGATCCTCTGCGAAGACACGGGTACAGTATTATTTTCATCCTCAAATTAAGGGAACTGAGTCCAGAGAGCACAGCTGCCGAGAGAAGGAGACGGAGCGGGCGCTCCTAGCTCCTGCTACCTGGTTCTTCTCATTTGGTCACTGGGGAAATACCTCTTCCTTGTGCTCGTGGATCGGGCAGGGGAGAGGCGGGGAGAGGGAGGATGATGGTGAGAGACTGGAAGGTAGAGCAAGGGCCAGGCAGTGTTTTCTGCGCATCTGTGCGTGAGGAGGAAGGCGCCAACCATACGAGGCTTTAGGGGAGACCTTGAGTTGGTAGTGATGGGGGAGTGGGGAAAGGGAAAGTTAGGCTACAGGCACCATCCCCTTGGAATTAACATGATGCCGTGAAGACACAGATTCTGCCTGGACAGGAAGCTCTCTCTTGCCGCAGCAGGCACCTCCCCACTAGGCACCTCCACCCTCCGATCCTGCCTGGACATCCTCTCAGAAGTAGTGGGAGCGAGGTGGGAAGCCAGTGTGGCCTCTGCAGGGACAAGCAAGTCTGTTTGATGGGGATGAGGAGGTGGGGTGCAGAGAGCCTCCGGAAAGGCTGGTATGTGGGAGGGAGGCCAGCCCGACTTCACTGACAGGGGAGAGGAGTCAGGACCGAAGTGCAGAGGGACAGGAAGGCCTCCTTCATGGTTCTTAGGTCTGGGCGGTGTTCTCTTCGAGCCACACGCCTATGGTCCAGGGCAGTGTCGTTCAGACTGCAGGCTGTGACCCATCAGTGGTCATGAGATCATTTAAAGGTTGCGATCAATAGTGTTCAGAGACTTCGAATAGAATGTAAGTGCATACCCTCCATACACTTTGTAAAGGTAAGCGTGGTTGCAGGAGACTTTCCATGGCTACAATCTGTGGGTTTTAACCCGGCAGGCCTGGCCCTTCCCAAAGGCTTTGGGGAGCGAGACCTTAGTAATGGGGGGAAAGGCAGCATCGACTCGGCTGTTTCCACAAGACCAGCTTTTAATATGACCGTGACCGGAAGCACGAATAAATAAACGCCAGAGAAAATGGAGAAACCAAATCAAACCAAACCTCAGAACATCAAAACCCAAATCTGGAGAATGGAACAAAACAGAACAGATCTCTGACAGACAGACAAAACAAGCCCCCACCCCCAGAGAAACAGAATTGGACTGTACAAGCCGGGTCACGAGGACAGCAGGATGACGCAGGTCCCCTGGATGAGCGCTGGAGTCGCCCAGGCCGCCCTGCCTCCACCAGGCGCTGGGACGGGGGTGGGGGTGGCCCCGGTCAGCCCACAGGCCGGCTCCGGCAAAGGGGTTTGTGGGCAGGTTAAGAACCTTCACAAACTACACAGGGACCGGACGTGGCTGAGAGTTCTGAGCTTTTCCTCTTGACCGTGCCGTCGCGATTCCAGTGTGGCCACGGGGTGGCTCTGGGGCTGGAGCCTGGTCCCACTGCAGGACTGCAGAGTGGCCGGCGGAAAGCGCACGGAGGAGAGTCGTGAACAGAGACGGACGAGGGGGTGGCGCCGCGAGCGGTCTCAGCATGCAGGTGCTTTATACATCTGGCAGTGAGATGTGATGGCAGGTTGGTTCTCGGACAGTTCCAGAGTGTGACTCTTTTCTCCTAAGAGGGACGCACGGCGGGGCCCGAGGACGCGTCGTGTCAGACGTGGCCACAGCGAGGTTTTGGCAGATAGTTTGCTATGTGTGCATAGGGGGCTCTTGTTTCCTTCTGTCATCAGGGGCCATCCCACCTGAGCCTGCTGTCCCCTGTCCTGGGTCTTGGGCCTCAAGGTCTGTTTGGGAGGGTGCCGGGTGGTCCATGGGCTGTCAGCAGGCAATCTCCTCCAAGGTCCCCAGGGCCGTCTGCAGGGGCACATTCACAGTGTGGCTGATGGTTTCAGAGTGGTTTGGCATCGTGTCACAAGTGCTCTGGAGGCAAGGAGATAGGGGGTGCTGATATTCATTCTGCAAAATGTTGTCATGATGCCCCTGGCAGCCCAGCCTAGGCCCTGGGAACTGTGGCCCCTGCTTGTGGGCTCTCCCAGGGCACCACGGCCCCTGCCCCAGACATCTCAGGGGCTGGCTTGCTGTCGCGGGGCCCGAGGCTGGAGGGGCCTCGCTGCCTTCAGGATCCTCACCATTGCCCACTTAGGTGCCCCCAGGGTAGGGACCGGGTGCCCTGGTGATGGGGTTTAGCAGCTGCCCCGATGTGTCACCGAAAGCTACTTCTGAGTGCTCTCTAACTCCGAGGCAGGAGCATGTCCCCTCCTGTCCTCCTCCTGGGGTCCTCCCTTGAGGCCTTTCTGGGTAGAGGAGGACCAGGCTGGGGGCACGGGCTGCCAATTGCTGAGGCCTAGGAGGAAGTGGGGAGGCCCCCAACCAGCCAGAACCAGAGTAGTCACGGCTCCCCAGTGGACCTTTAGGGTTAGGCTGGCCCCTGGCAGTCTCGGGTCCCTGGACAGGGTGGGGCTGGGGGGCCTTGAGCTTTCCCAGCGACTCCCATGCCGCGGAGGGCTGGAGGCTGGGAGGGATGGGAGCAGAGAGATAGCAGCCAGGAGGCTGTGCCAAGAATGTGGGGGAGATCTGATGAGGATGGGGCTGCGGTGGGGGGAGGTGACAGAGGCTGAGCACTTACTGTAAATTAGGCACTGCTGACTGCTTTACAGGCATGGTCCCACTTAATGCAAATGACAAGTCCCTAAGGTGCCTGTGACTCGACAGGCGCTCAGGGAGGTAACCCACCAGCCCTCAGGCACTGAGCTGGGAAGCAGGGACCTGAGTGCCGATCCCCCGGCCCCTTCCACGCTGCCTTCCCCTCAACAGACACTGGTTTCTATTCAACAGAGGCTGCAGGGGCCCGGGAGAACCTAAGCAGAGATTTTTCGCCCGGCAGATGGCATCTGGAGCAGAAACGGGGGTCTCCTGGGGGGAAGGGGCTGGGATCACTGGGCCTAGGATTTGCTGACTCCAGGGGGGTGGTGGCTGCCTCAAGGGCCTGGCATTCTCAGGGCAAAGTCTCAACCGGGAAAAGCCAGAGATACCTGTACCAGGCAGCTGAGGCCAGAGCCCGGGAGCAGACTGAGTTTGGGAAGGAGAGCACACAGCCATAAGAGGTGGGGCCTCGCTGGCCGCTCGAGGGAAGAGAGGCAGAGTAGGACGGCGGTCAGGGGGGCTCTGCGTCCGGCTCTGCCATTCATCGCCTGGGTGACCTTGACCTTTTAGGCCTCAGCTGCCTCAAATACAAAATGGAGAGAACAGACCTTTCTCCAGGGTAACCACACAGCTGAAGGACAAGGTGCGCTTACGGCCTGCAGCATGGAGCCTGACGCGTACTCGGCACGCACTAGGAGGCGGTTACGTGGGTAACAACCTCGCGGGGCCCCGAGCTCCGCGTCCCCTTCTGAAGGAGTAAAGCGCCAGTGACGTCCTCACTTGCACCTTGACACCCTGAGAGTAAGGGAGCGGAGCCTCCCTGCTTCCCCCAAGGCACACGATGAGAACTGTAAGGCTCCAGCCCTGGAGAAGCTAGACTGGGCCAGGTATTGGCTACATCCATGGCTTGCTATCAGGCTCTGGATGGGTGTCAGAGAGAGCCCCGGGCTCCGTGGGAGCGTCCTCGGACAACCTGAGTTAAGGCGTGTCTCCCCCGCCCAGGCCCTGACATCTGGTCTCATGCAGCCCTGCAAAAGCAGAGAATAGAGCAACCTAGAGCACACAGGCTGCTCTTACCACGTTCTCGTCGTGGCTCCCTTCGTCCTCTTCTTTACCAAGCAGGTCTAAGAGCTTCTCTTTGATCAGCTGCAAGAAAATCAGGACAGGGTTGGTCAGGTAGAGCGACGAGCTCTGGGAGCCCCTGCCCAATCTTTTGGCTGAAGCGAGGTTTTGGTGCAGGAGGTAGGTCCTGGAGGAGGTCACAGGAGGCCCCCTCTGGCACGGGGACCGTTTTCTCTTGTGGAAGGAGCGTGTGGATGAGCAGCCTGGGAGCCCCTTTCTGAGGCTGGGCCTGGGGGAGGAGATTACCAATCACTTTCCAAGCCTGAGAGCCCCACTGTTCGTAAGACCAGGCCCCCCCCCCCCCCGAGTTCATAACATTCGATTCCTAGCAACGAGGGGCAGTTATTAAACATGTTACTTGGCAGGATGCAATTTCCGTAACCTTATAACAACTCTTCCCCCAAATTAATAAGCAAAGCAGAATGAGATCTGGCCGTGGGTGGCTTGGGTTTGGGGAACAAGGTCACCATGCCGGGAGGGGGAATGTGGCACTCCAGAGGACCCTGGTACTCGGGGTCCTCCAGCTCCCCACTGTGGTCCCCAGGGGCCTTTGGCCAAGGATGGCCCTCTCTGGGAGGCAGGACACTGCTGTGCCGGCTCTTCTTGCTAGAGCGAAACTCTGGTGGCCCTGGGGACACTGAGGAACCCCCTTAGGAATTCTGGAGACACTGGAGCCAGCCCAGCTCTGGAGGACGCAGGGGAGACGGGGTGGGAAGGGGAGGCTGAGGAGCAAAGGAATTCTCAGAGCCAGAAGCCGCTGTCTATTGTTTGAGATGCTTTCAGAGGCTCTGTTCCAGCGGCCTTTTGAGGGGACATCTCCGGCTGTGAACAGCCAGAAATGGCCTGCGTGCCTTTGTTCCTGCTTCCTCAGAATTGACGAAGTCGTCAGGAAATGCCGCTTCTCTAAGCCTGCCTGCACCAGGATAGGCACTACTCAGGTGACGGGCCACCCAGAGGGCCCATGTGTGTGTGTGTGTGTGTGTGTGTGTGTGTGTGTGTGTCTGCTGGGTGAACGTAGTATATATGTGTGTGTGTGTATTTACGAGTGGTACCAGGGTGTGTGAGTGGTGTGTGTGTGGGGGGGTATGTGTGTGCATGTGCTGTGAGTGTGTGGGTGCAGACACACATACGTATGAAGCCACCACAGCTGGTCTTGCGTGGGAGGGGCTCGGAGCTGGCCTCAGTTCTGGCTCTTCTCCTTCTCGATGCTTCCTCTCCCTTCCTGCAAGTGTGGACAGCCCACGGATCTCCCAGCTGCCTGGGGATAGGACTGTGGCTTCTGTCTCTCTTGGACCCACCCCCTCCTCCCTGCCTAGGACTTGGTGATAGACAGTATTTGCGGACAGGGAGGAGAAAGCGGGTTCTGGGTGGAAAGAGGCCACCCTCTCCCCCATGCATCAGGGTAGGACGAGAGTATCAGCATACGGTCATTTCCCCACGAACAACCCCAGTCTTACCTCGTAAATATAATCAAAGAGCTCTAGTATTGTAAGGATACTAGCACCAATAAACAGTCCCATCTGACCACCAATATCACCTGGAGAGAGAGAAAAGGTCAAAGATTTGGCTTTACTCATGGCCCTTCTAGGAAGGAGTGAACAAACAACTCAGAAACCAGACCTCCCTCCACGGGGAGCCTGGGCCTTAGGTAGGTCAGGCCCTGGACAACTCCCTCTCTCATTGCACAGCACCCAGTGTGGATGGGGATTAACCCAAATGCTTACTGGAGGGCCTACTGTAAGACCTCACAGGCTAATGGGCTTATTCAATTACCTTCAGAACCACACTCAAAGCCTCGCTTTGTCTCTGGGCTGGGAATAGAGACAAGAAGCGTGTGGTCTTGGCCTGGGGACAGGACAATGGAGCCCAAGACTCATGTGTCAGGTGCCTTGGGCGTGGGTCTCGGAAACAATGGCACAAGAGACCTTCCTACCCTCCCAATCATGAAGAGGCCCACAGGGCCAACTCAAGGCACCTCTCACCTTTGGGATAAGGTCATAGGAAGCATTCCCCTAACTCCCCCACCTCAAAGTAAATGCTCAATTTGGTCTTTTCCTAGAGTAGATGTTCTTGCTGGGGGGTATATAGGCCCCATTGACCAAAGTGTTTCTTGACTGGTCTTCAGGTCCCCCCCAGTGTAGATACCTGGACATGCCCCAAGTCTATAAAATCAGAATCTCTGATTCTGGGGTCTGGAAGTCAGGATTCTTAAATTCCCAGGGGATTCTCTAACCCACCAGGGTCTGAGAACAACTCTCCTGTGGGAGTTGTGGACAGTTGGAGACCCTTTGGAAATGAATGCAAAACATTACATGGGTGTACCTGGGCATTTGTACCGGGAGAGTCCCTATTTGAGAAGCTATTATCAGATCCCCAAGGGTCCCCCCAAAAGTCCAAATGCTTGGCTCTGGAAGTCAGTGTGGTCGAATAGAGGGCTCAGAGTATCTGCGTTTGGAGAGTGGCCACCAGCCTGCTGTGTGGTTTTGATAACCCCTGACCTTCTCAGTAGCTTTGCCTTCAAAGGACATTTGGTGGTGGAGGGGAGTGGAGGAGAGAACTGTGAGGTTCTTGCCAGCTGGAGCCTCTGAGACCGTTAGCTGCTGGGCTGGGCGGGGAGAGCGCTGGGAAAGGGGGTGCACCGGGCTGACCTCGTGGTCTGAGAACTTTCTGTTGGCCACATCTGCCCTCTCTGATTACAGTCCCTGATTATGGCTGAGTGGGGTCGGACAACCACAGTCCCAGGTGAGCAGGCAGAGAGGGCAGGAAGGGGGCTCTTCCTGGGTGGGTTTGGAGCTGGGCTCCAACAGTTCCCCTCACTCCTCTCCCCCCTGCCCTCTCTGATGCCCTTCGTGGGGACATTACTGGGGAGTGGGTTCTTACAGGTGTTCATGTCAGGTGTGAGGTGCGTGTTTGCACGTGTATGCAGTGTGTGTGAGTGTGGTTATGTGCCAGGGTCCTCTGCGTGTGCACATGCTTGTTTAGTAGAAGAAGCATGTCTGGCTGTCGATGGCTTCACGCAGGTGGCTATTTACGTCTAGGGTGGGGACCCTGAGTGTGTCTAAGTGTGTGTGAGTGCGGCTTTGTGGGGGTGGGCATAGTGTGTTTGAGCGTGCGGAACCTGTGTGAGCATGTGTGTGCGTACGGACAGGTGTGTGTGATGAGTCTGTGGGTCTGTGTGCCACCGTGCACCGGTGTGCGTGGCTCTGCATGGTGTGCGTGTGTGTGCGCTTTGGGGCGGGGTGTGCTGTGTGTGGATGAGTGCCTGTGCGGTGTGCGCTGGGGTGAGGGCGGGCTGTGCAGCGGTGAGGGAAGGGCCCAACGGGCTTGGGGACTGAGTGCTTGCGAGCGGCACGCACTCTTGTCACGGGAGGCACAGATGGCAGCATGATTTCTCAGCAGGCTATTCTGGGTGGGAACAAGATGCTGGGAACATCTCATCCTCATATCAGATGCAGAGATGAGCTATCCTTTCTGACAGATTCAGAGCTCAGGCCCTTCTCAGTGTGTGTGTGTGTGTGTGTGTGTGTGTGTGTAAGACAGAGAGAGAGAGTGAGAGCGAGCGAGAGAGAGAGAGCGAGCTGTGAGCCTATATGGGGGGATGGGGAGAGCCCTGTCTTGAGTTCTCTTTAGGAAATGAAAGAGAGGGATGCCTGGGTGACTTGTTGGTTAAGCGTCAGACTGTTGATCTCGGCTCAGGTCGTGATCTCAGTTTGTGAGTTTGAGCCCCGCATCGGGCTCTGCGCTGATGGCGTGGAGCCTGCTTGGGATTCTGTCTCTCCTTCTCTCTGCCCCTCCCCCGCTTGTACGCACACTTTCTCTTTCTCTCTCAAAAAAAGAAAAAAAAAAAGAAATGAGGTGACAGAGGCAGGGTGAGTGGGTCTACATGTCTGGAGCATGACCTCTACCTCCGGCCCAGGACATTAGAGTCTTGGCTTAGTCCCTTTTGGCCGCAACAGCGTCTGAGACCCAAATGACAGCCACCTTAACCCAACTGGGTCCCAGCTGTGGCTCAGTCCCCAGTCGCCTGGGAGAGGTGCAGAAATGCTCACATGGTGCCTGGAATCACCAGCGGGGGCCCTGGGTCTCTGGCATGGTGACTCTCCAGGTACCAGAAACTATTCTTTATGGACCTTCTGTGGGCTGAGGCTTTACCCCGGCTAACCATCACAATGAACTCATCAAGCAGCTTTATTAGACCCATTTCACAGATGAGGGGCCTGATGTCCAGTGAGTGAGGCCACTTGCCCACATTCTCGGAGCTGGTATGCAGTAGTCTTTGGCTCTGAACCTCTATACTTCCCTCTATACCTGCCACCCACCTTCCCCAGGATACCACTCTCTGTCCAACTCACAGGGACAACAGCGGCTAATTCTCCTTGTAGGGACAGCATCATGTCCTCTCTTGAGAGTGAGCTGGAGTTGGGAGAAGGACCCAAGGCACAGGTCTTTCAACTGACCACCCCCAGGGGTTTTGTGAGTTTGGCGGGGGGGGCAGGGTTGAACGGAACTCCCTGCATCCGTTATTTGGCGGTGCGGCCAGGGGAGCTGATGTGAACTTGAGTGGGGGCGGCAGTCAGGTTTGTAGACATCTGGGGATGTGTGACCCTTCTTTTGTGTTTGACAAAGGACTCTCAATCCAGGGGAGACATCTGGCCCCAGTGCTGCCATGTTGCTTTCCAGTCCCACACTCACACTCACTGCCTGGGGACCACCCAAAGCTCAGCCTTCCCTCCATTGGACAGCGTTTTTCCCGCTGTGGCCCCGGGACTGTCACTCCAACCTGGGGGCAGAAGACCGCAGAGTCCAACGGGGCAGCCCTGGGAAGGCCCTGAGAGACCTTTCAGCTCACTTGCATCATTGTGTCAATGGGGAAGCTGAGGCTTAAATTGGGGCATGAGCTGAGCCTAAAACCTCCGTCACTCTGGAGGCCTTCCCATTCTGGGACAGAGGGCGTAATTAGCACCTTGAGAGTGCTGTCTGCCTGCCTACCCCCTGCCCACTCCCCCTCACTCCCCTCCATGACGTGTGGAAATTTGTGCAACAGACACCGACATACCGAGTAAGGCAGCAACTTCATATGCCTTCTTCTGTTCAATCGTCTCATAATTGAGGGCTTCAAAAAATATATCCAGAACGAGGATGTTCTCTCTGCAGAGGGAATATCCAGTACCATACACAGTGAGGACCATCGGGATCCACGCAGGCCATCCGACCCAGCTTTCCCATTGACAGAGGGAGGGGCTGAGGCCCAGGAAAATGAAACCACCAGCCCAAAGTTAGAGCTGGTCAGCGACAGAGCTGACCTTGGAACCAAGAGCCCTGACCCCCAGCCCAGTGCTCTGGAGGCACATATCAGCTGTCCCTCTTTGGGACAGCTTTCCATGAGTCCTACCTGGCCTCCAGGTCTCTGGGCCCCCCACAGGGTCTTCCTGGCTCCCCACCTGCAGGTGAGTTCAGCACTCTCTTGACAAGCTCTTCACTCTCTTGCCTTGCTTGCCCCAGCTGACCTCCCGGGCGGCCTCTACCCACTCCCGAGAGCCCCCCGCCATGCTCCTACTTGGATTTATAACAAGGTTGTCCTAGTGGGACGCCCGTGCGCTCACACTGCCAAATCAGCTGCCAGGCTCAGGGAGGAACAAATCTATATCTGGCCGGGGGGTTCCCTTTTCCTCTTTTAGGCAGGTGTGTTAACAAGACGCATCTTGGCAGGAAAAGTCATCGCTGCTGGCAGAACGTCGGCTCAGCAGCAGGGCCTGGCACCTCCTTTTCTCCATCTCCTGCGACGCTGGTCACAGTGGCCTCGGTGCCCCTTGTTTGCAACCGGCTGAGCCAGAGTCGCCCCGGGATGGGCTCTGGTGGCCGTGTGGCAGGAGGGAGCGGCTGGTGAGAGAGAAGCAAATCCTCCTCTTCATGCAGGGCTCCCCGAGGCGCCGTTCAAAGTAAGTGTCACCATCGCTTGCCTGGGTGATGACAACTGCCTCCTACCAGGCCGCCTCCCTTTCTTCTGGCTTCCCTTCTGTCCTCCACACTGCCCCCTGAAGGATCTTTCTAAAACTGCTAGAAAACATCACAATTCAGGGACGCCTGGGTGACTCCTTTGGTTGAGCGGCTGACTCTTGGTTTTGGCTCAGGTCATGATCTCATGGGGTATGAGTTTGAGCCCCGAGTCAGGCTCTGTGCTGACAGTGAGGAGCTTGCTTGGGGCGCTCTCTCTCTCTCTCTCTCTCTCTCTCTCTCCCTCTCTCTCTGCCCCTCCCCTGTGTGTGCTCTCTCAAAATAAATAAATAAAACGTTAAAAATAATTACATTTCAGTTCCTCTGTCACCCAGGCTACATTTAAAATGCTCACTAGCCACATGCGGTTAGTGGCTCCCTTGTTGGTCCTCGGAGATACACAATCTGTGCTTCTGCCGTCATGGCAGAAAGTTCTGTTGCAGAGCAGTGGTCTAAAATACACGGTTGAGGCTGTCACCTACTTGAAGCTCATCAGAGGCCCCCTCCTCTTTTTGGATAAAATCCACTCCCTGTCCCCCAGGGAGAAGAGGCCCTCTTGCTCTGACGCATCCACCTGTCCCAGCTCCCTCTGGCCATTCTCTTGTCTGCCCTGTGCCTGGGACACCTCTGCTCCCAAGACTTCCATTCATTTATTCTGTTAAAAGACATTTTTTTGAATACCAGCTCTGTGCCAGACCCTCCACAGCAGCGAACACAAGGAAAGGCTGCAGCCTTCAGGGGGCTTTCCGTCTAGTGGGGCACACACACACGAGAACATGGAAATGACACCCTTAGGTGAATGCCACAAAGGAAAACACCAGAGTGCTTGGACAGAGATTGAAAAGGAGGAGAACTAATTTAGCTGTGTGAGATGACCTTGAAATGGAGACCTGCACAATGAGGAACCAGGTGGGTAAAGTGCGAGAGGAAAAGCATTCTGGGTGGAGGGAATGAAATGTGCAAGCCTGCCTGGGAAACTCCTACACATCCTCTTAAACAAGATCGCTGAAGCTGGGGCACGTGACTGGCTCAGTACATTAAGCTTCCGACTCCTTTGTTTAAATTTTTTTTATGTTTTTATTTTATTTTTGAGAGAGAGAGAGAGAGAGAGAGAGAGGCAGAGAGAGAGAGAGGGAGACACAGAATCTGAAGCAGGCTCCAGGCTCTGAGCTGTCAGCACAGAGTGGAACTCATGGGCCACGAGATCATGACCTGAGCTGAAGTTGGACACTTAACCAACTGAGCCACCCAGGTGCCCCCAAGCTTCTGACTCTTGACTTCCGCTCAGGTCATGATCTCACAGTTGGGGAATTCAAACCCCACATCAGATTCCATGACTCTGACAGCACGGAACCTGCTTGATATTCTGTCTCTCCCTCTCTCTCTCTCTCTCTGCCCCTCCCCCGCTTGCTTTCTCTGTCTCTCTCCCTCAAAATAAAGAAATAAACTTAAAAAAAGTCTCTGAAGCTTTCCTTGACGGCAACCCTATGTGAGGTGCAGTCAACCAGCCTCCCTTCCTGCCTGTATCAGCCTGTAAAGCATTCAGACGTTCGCTCCTCTCTCAAGACTGTTAAGCTCCTTAAAGGCTGGGGGAGGGGCTGCTTCTTAATCATCTTTGTCTTCACTTTCTGAGTCGTAAACACAGAGCTTGGCACACGGCCGAGGGTCAGTTCAGTTCTGCCAAACGGAGCTTCCCTCTGCCCTCCTCCTCGACTGCCCCCAGTTTCTCCTGGGTCCATCCCTTCTCCCTCTGCCTACCGGTGCCCACTGAGCTTACGAGATATATTTTTCTGATTTGTTGAATTTCTTCTCGAGGTACTTGGCTGACGTCTTGCTGGGGATCTTCACCATGGACAGCTCTTTGTTGTAGCGGGTCAGGTTGCAGGGTGTCCTGCAGAGACAGTAATTACTGTCCTTCTCCGCCAGCAGACCTGCAGGGGAGAGGGGGGGCGGGGCTTAGTCAGCTGTGGGGGCGGGGCCCCAGGGTTCCAGCCGCTGGGGAGGTGGGGTTGCGGAAGCTGGGAGGAGGGGCCATCCCCGGGAAGTGAGGGGCGGGGCTGTGGAGATGAGGGGAGCTGGGCTTTGGCTATAGATTGGCGAGGGTGTGAGCGCTCATGAAAAGTGCCCACTCCATGTGTCTCTCTTGGTCCTGTTCTCCTTCCACTTCCTTTATTGTTATGTTGTCCTTTAAAAATTGTTGAAAGGCACCACTTTTGGAGAATGGGTTCCACAGGAGTCCTGGCCCCTTCAGCTTCCCAGAGCCTTCTCTGCTCCTAGCCTCAGTGTTCTCATCCACAAAGTGGGCCTCCCGTCACGGGCAAACATGAGAGAACATTTAATCTAAAACCCAGGGCTCAGCGGTATTCCCTCTGAGGCTCCTTCCTAGCCAGAGCCTGCCTCCGGTGCCTGCTGGGGTAGGGTGCAGGCAAAGATTCTCAGTTCCTGTCCCTAGAAGCAACCTCCCGCATCTTTTCTGCTCCTGTCTTCCACTTAGGAAGGGGTGGCTAAAGATATCACTTCCTTCCCTCCGTCTCTCTGATCATGGCAGTGTTACCCACGGGATTCCATACTCCAAGGAGAGATGTCTTTGTACACATCTTTCACTCTTCTCTAAGGCCGGCGCCTCCCCCCACGATCAGTCCTTCTGGAAGCATCTGGACACAGGAGTCCAGAGCTGTCCTAGCTTAGCTCCAGCAAGTGCAGCTGCTGAACGAACTTGAGTCCCTATGATTTAAACATGCTCTCTGCTGCTCGTCTTGATCATAGACCACTTCCCAGGTGCAGAGAGAGGCAGGCAGGTGGAGTGAGTCTAGATTTGGGGTTGTGGCTCGTTTGTCGGATCTCCTGCACCTGAAGTTTTCCAGTGGGGGATTCCAGCAGTTATTCCAACCCACGAGCACCCAGCCAGAGGAGGAGGAGGGGGAAATGCACAGCAGCTGCCCCTTCCCCCCCCCCCCACCTCCTTCGGTGCCCACCAGGATGTCTACTGTTCATTCATCCTCTCTCCATCTCTGTCCCTTCCTCTGTGCTCCCCAGTGCTCTCCATTCCCCTGAAACCCACCCCTTCTCTACCGCACCTCTCTACTTCCTCTCACTCCCCCAGTGCCTTGCCAGCCCTCATCCGCCTGCATCAGTTTCCTCCCTTCCCTCGCTCCTGCCTCCTCTCCACCTTCCTCTCCAGCTCCTACAGTGCCGAAGCCCCAGCCAGCCTCTCCTCCCCACCTCCGGTGCCCCTTCCGCCCTATCTCTCCCACACCCAGAACACCTCTGAGGTCTCAAGCTCAGCTCCCACTCCCTTTGTCCCCCAGTACTGACCTAGGGCAGGCTCTGCGCACTCCTTGTGCTGCTCAGGAGTACAGAAAGGGGCATCCCCTGCAAAGAAGAGACACAAGGAGACTACTCAGGCAGCAACCCCTCCCTCCTGGGCTGGGGAAAGGGAATGCATCCTGCAACCTGGGAGGAGCAGCAGTCCCCCGGCAGTCAGAAGGGAATCACCCATAAGAGCTGGGGGCAAGTGGGGGCTCAGTGTTACCCAGAGCCAGGGGATTAGGTCTGCTCTGCTCTGGGAGCTTGGGCAGGTGAATATAGGGTCTGCCTAGCTAACTTCTCCCAGATTGCTGCGCTGGCCCAACTAGCTCAGGTGGGTGACAGGTGAGAAAGCCTTGGTGGCTGAAAGTAGAGACTGGCAGAAAGCACCTCTACCTCCAGGCACACATCTTCGCCTTTAACTCACACGGTACCTCCGGAAATAGGAAATACTGTGTCTGTTTCACCCCTGAGAGTCTTGAGGTTAAAATATCCTGCCTTCCCAGGACATCAGAGCTAGCAGTGATCGAGATGGGTTTTGAATACACTGGTCTGACCAGTCTGACCCCGAGGCCAGGGCCACACCTCTGCTGTCTGTGAACAAGCCCCACTTTGTAAGTTTCTTGCCCTTAATTCGGTAACAGAGATGCCAGTAAGAATGTCATGGGTAGAACGGTTGAAACCTCTACTGCTTGCTTTTGGCTCAGGTTCCATGGGGGAACCTTACTGGCTGGTGATCCAGTCTGAGCATCAGGCAGGTAACATTCACCAGTGCGGTATCCTTCTCTATGGTCTCTCAGTAGAAATCCAGACGCACCCCCCCCCCCCCCCCAAAACCCGGCCCGGCCTTTTTTTTTCCTGGTGCTAAAATTAAACCTGCCACAATGTCCTTTCCTTACTATTTCCCTAAACACCCTTTTCAAGAGCTGAGAGCTGGTATGCTTCCTTCTTTCCAACAATAACAATGTAACTGGTGTTTCTCTTTTTGCTCTGTCTTCTGGGAAGCTCAGAGGCAATTTTAAAGATCAACAATTATACAATTAGATTTCTAGAAAAAATTACTGATTACTGATGAAATAGAGTTTAGCTATAAGCTAAATCTGAGCATTGGTTATAAAAGAAAACAATTGGTAATGAATTAAATGTCTGATATAAGGATTTAGTTAAATAAACTTAAATAAAGTATGATATGGCTATGAAATGGTAGCCATTGAATAGGATAGCAAAGCTCCCAACACATAGTAGATCATCAGTCAATACTACTTTTGGTTCCTCTCCGCATGTGCTAATAAAATGACCACTGACTTTTGCACTTTTATATTTTAGCCTAATTTTATCCTCCTAACAACTAATGATTGTATTTTAGAGATAATGAAGGTAAGAACAGAGAGATTTAGTAACTTGGGCCAGGTCACACAGCAGAAAAGTGGAGGAATCTGAATTAGAAGCCAAGGTCCCTTCCTCCCAGCTTGTCATCCTTCCTTCTCTGCTGCGAAACCAAACTCTTCATGCTTGAATTAGCCCTCACGCCATGCCCCCTCCCCTGCACCCCCACCCCACCCCTCGTGCTCCTGCCTCTGATTAGCTGACTACCTCTAATAAGATGGCTACATGCATTGTTAGTCTGACACCAGAAATATCAGCGCATGCGCATCTATTTGCCAGCTGAGGGACTTTTGCCTCATCTGAAAGAGTGCTAGACATTTGGATGCGAGAAGGAAACCATCTGGATGAAAGCAACAGACACCTGGATGTTTGAACAGGTGCCACACCAGGATTCAAGAATTGCAAGGGCTCCAATACCTGGACACTGAACCCTAGGAGGTAAGAGCAGCAAACAATTAACAAGCATGTTGAGCACTGGCAGGAGCATTCTTTAAACATCTGGACACTTCTGGACACCAGGATGCTGCCCTGGTTGCTAGACTGGTTGTTTCCATCTGCCGTCCACGTGTTTGGGACCAAGTACTAGCCTTTCCCAGAACAGCATCTCTGTGGGTCCTCATGGAGTGGGTACAGTGGTTCCCGCTAGGGTGAGAAGGGCACAGAAGGTCTCAGGCTGTCCCTTGGCACTGACCTGGCATGTGCACCATACGACAGTTGCAATTCTCCACGATGTAGCGCGTCTCACAGTCGATCCGACAGGCGGTGATGCTGTAAACAGGAAAGAAGTCGAGTCCCATCTCTGAGGATCGGCACTCACCCCAAGGTGGGGGCAGGTATGTGAGCTGCAAGACAGGAAGGTGGGGGCAGCAGTCAGCCCTGGAGGTTCAGCATCGACAGCCTTAATAGCGCATTCACTTACTTATTCAATCAACAAACGATTATTGACCATCTGCTACAGGACAATCTAGCTCCATTGACCTCATAGGCTTTCCATGTCTGCCTCCAATACTCATTTTCCGGTCTCGTATAACCTTCTCATAAAGGCCAATCTCGAAGTCTCTTACATTTGCCATGTGTCTTTCTACCTCCGTACTTTGTCATCTCCAAACTCTTGGAATGACCCAACTAAATTCTACCTTCTTGGCTGGGAACATTGGGACCCCAGACCTAGACTTGGGGGCCAGAACCTTCAGAGGGTCCAGGAAGAAATGGCATAATCAATGTTATTTATGATCTGTGGCCCAGACTAGAGCACTCCTCCTGTGTCATGCTATGGATGAACTCCTTTGGGGAAAATGTCCTTATTCTCAGAGGTCCAATGTCCATAGAATGCTGTCATGCCTATGGTATATGCCTGTTGGGACTGGGGAAGGTGAAGGGCGAGGGAAATGAATGGCTGTGAGCACTTATGTGTGAAGCCCCGAACTAAATCCTTTATATTTATCTTTTTTATTTAATTGGAGAAAAAAAATGCAACAAAATGCATGTTTTTAGAGCACAGTTCAACAAATTCTAAAAAATGTATACACTTGACTGGGGCGCCTGGGTGGCTCAGTTGGTTGAGTGTCCGACTTTGGCTCAGGTCATGATCTCACGGTCTGTGAGTTCAAGCCCCGTGTCAGGCTCTATGCTGACAGCTCAGAGCCTGGAGCCTGCTTTGGATTCTGTGTGTGTGTCTCTCTCTGCCCCTCCCCTGCTCTCTCTCTCTCAAGTAAATAAACATTAAAATTTTTTTAAAAAAAATGTATACACTTGTGAACCTACCACTTAAATCAAGACCTAAGACATTTAAAAAAAAGTTTACTTATTTATTTTGAGAGAGAGTGTGTGCACACGTGTGAGCAGGGGAGGGGCAGAAAGAGAAAATTCTAAGCAGGTCCTGCACTATCAGTATAGAGCTGGACGTGGGGTTTGATGCCAACCATGAGATCATGACCTGAGCCAAAATCAAGAGTCAGTTGCTCAACCTACTGAGCCACCCAGGCACCGTAAGACCCAAGACATTGAAAATCACTCCACAGAATTCCTTCCTCTCCCTTTCCAATCCACCCCCACCCATCCACCCAGCCAATCTCTGTTACGGATTCTACCACCCTAGGTTGGCTTTGGCTGTTCTCAACCTTCATGTAAATGAGAACCTACAGAGTATTCTTTTGTGTCCGGCTTCTTTGGCTCAACATAATGTTTTTGAGATTTATCCACACGGTTGTGTGCCTTAGTTCATTTTTTTTTTTTTTAAATTGCTGAATGGTTTCCCAGTGTATAAGTATACCACAATCTGTATCCATTCACCTGATGACGGGCCCTTGGATTGTTTCCAGTTTTTGGTAATTATGAAAAAGTCCCTGTTAACATTTATGGACAAGTCAGTTCAGTTTTTGGACACATACTTTCATTTCTCTTAGGGAACCGGCTAGGAGAGTAGCTGGTTTGTTAAATAGGTCTCGGGGTAACTTTTTATATGAAACGGTGAAACTGTTATCCACAGTGCTAGTACGGTCTTTCATTACCACCAGGAGCGTATGAGAGTTCCAGTTATGCTGTACCCTTGCCAAATCTTGATTTTGTCCACATTTCTAATTTTAGACATTCATGTAGGGGTATAGTTATATCTCATTGTTGTTTCTATTTGTGGCTTTCTGCTGATTGATGATCTTGAGTGCAATTTTATGTGCTAATTGGCCATTCATATATTATCTTTTGTGACATGTCTTTTCAAGTCTTTTGCCCATTAAAACAACTTGCTTACTTTTTACTTTTATTATTAAGCTGTAAGAGTTCTCCATATGTTCTGGATACAAGTCCCCTGTCAGATAGCAGGTACTGAGAATATTTTCTCTCTACCTCCCATAGTTTGGGGCTGACTTTTCATTTTTTTAATGGTGTATATTTTTCCTACTTTTAAAAATCCCTCATTAAGATGTCATTTACAAATAATGTCTCAACTTTAATGGACAATTTAATGAATTTTTACAAGCGTGTACACCCTGGTAACAAGCATTCCAATCAAGATACGGAGCATCTCCATTAACCCCCCAAAGTCCCCTCCCCAGCCCTCAGGCCATCACCGATCTGCTTTCTGTCATAAATTGGCTTTGCCTGGTCTAGGATTTTATATAAATAGAAGCATACAGCATGCACCCTTTTGTGTCTGGCTTCTTTCTCTCAGCAGAATGTTTCCAAGATTCATTCATGCTCATGCATGTCTCAGTAGTTCATTCCTTTTTATTGCTGAATTTTACTTCTTCCTTTCTGGTCTTTATTTTTTATTTCTTTTTCTTGCTTCAGCGCATTGGCCAGAAACTGTATATTGTGTAACGTTGGAAAAAACTGAAGGGAGAAGATATCCTTACCTTGTTCCTGATCATAGAAGGAAAGGGTTCATTACTTCATTATTAAATGTGTTAGGTATATATATATTTTTTTCCCTAGAGGCCCTTGTCAGATTGAGAAAGTTCTCTCCTGTTTCTAGTTTGCTGAGCACTTTTACCTTTACTGGGTATTGAGTTTTGACAAATGTGTGTCCTGTTTCTACTGAGATGATCACATGATTTTCCTCCTTTGTTCTGTTAATATGGTGAATGATACGGATTGATCTGTAGATGCTGAACCCACCTTGCATTTCTGGCACAAGCCCCACTTGGTCATGGTTTATTTATTATCCTCTTTATATTGTTGCTGTATTTAACCTACTAATGTCTTGTGGAAGATTTCTGTGTCTATGCTCATGAATGATATTGTATTTAATTTGCTTTTCTTGTGATGTCTCAGTTAGGCTTGGTATTGTGGTTATGCTAACTTCATAAACAAAATTATAAATTGTTTCCTTTCCTCTTTCTCTATCTTCTCAGTTTGTATAGGCTTGGTATCATTCCTGTCCTAAATGTGAAGCCATCTGGACTTGGTGATGGTGTGTGTGTGTGATGATTTTTAATTATGAATTCAATTCCTTTAGTGGATTTAGAGACATTCAGACTTCCCATTTCTTCTTGTGGTGGTTCTGTTGTGCTGTTTTCCAAGGAATTTGTCCATTTCATCTAAGTTGTTGAATTTATTAGCATACAGTTGTGTATAATATTCTTATCACTTTTTAAATGTCTGAAAAATTGGTAGTAACGTCCTGTCTTTCGTTTCTGATATTAGTAACTGGTGTTATCTCTTTCCTTGTTGTTTTTGATTTCTAATTTAATTATGCTTTGATCAGGAAACATACTATCCATGTTCCTTTAAAATTTACTGAGATTGAGTTACAGTGCAGCGTATGGTATATCTTGGTGAATGTTTCATGTGCACTTGAAAAGCATGTGTATTCTGTAATAGTTGGTGTAGGTGTTTTATAAAAGGCAATTAGGTCAAGTTGTTGGATAGTGTTGCTCCAATCTTCTATAGTTTTACTGAGTTTTTGTCTAGTTATTCATCAATTGCTGAGAGAGAAGTGTTCAACTCTCTAACTAGGACTATAGATTTGTCCATGTTTCCCTTTAGGTCTATTTTTGCCCCTTGTGTTTTTGAAACTTACCATGAGGCACCTACACATTTAAGATCACGATATCTTCTTGAGGGATTGATTCTGTTATCATTGTGAAATAACTCTCTTTATCTCATGCAATATATTTGTCTTGAGGTTTACTTTGTATAAGATAGTCATACCAGCTTTCTTATACTTACTGTTTATCTTTTCCCATTCTTTAATTTTTTTTGGTCCACCTTTTGCTTTTCGCCCATCAGAATATTTTTATATTTAAGGTACATTTCCTGTAAACAGCCTATTTGAGTACTGCTGTTTTACCTTGACAATCTCTGTGTTTTAATTGGAGGGTTTAATGCATTTACATTTAATAGTATTTTTGATACAGTTAAGTTGAAGTCTACTATCTTGCTCTTTGTTTCCTTTTTGTCCCCACTGCTATTTCTTCCTTTGTTCTACCTGCCTTGACTCCTTTTGGGGTAACTGAGTATTGTTTTAGGTGATCATTCCATCTCCTCAATTGGCTTTTGATTTATACCTCTTTGTATTATTATTTTTTTAACTTGTTCCTCTAGGATTTACAGTTTTCATCCTTTATGCTATTGCTGTCATATATTTTACTATCACATCTGTTATAAACACCATGGTAGGTACACTGTTACTATTTATGCCTTAAGGATCCCATTAATTTTCAAAGAAGTTAAGAAAAAAAGAAAACATTTTTTTTTTAATTTTTTTTTCTCGTTTTTATTTATTTTTGGGACAGAGAGAGACAGAGCATGAACGGGGGAGGGGCAGAGAGAGAGGGAGACACAGAATCGGAAACAGGCTCCAGGCTCTGAGCCATCAGCCCAGAGCCCGACGCGGGGCTCGAACTCACGGACCGCGAGATCGTGACCTGGCTGAAGTCGGACGCTTAACCGACTGCGCCACCCAGGCGCCCCAAAAGAAAACATTTTATATTTACCCACATGTATATCATTTTCCCTGTTCACCATTCTTTTGTGTAGATCTGAATTTCCATTTGCTATCATTTCTCTTCAGGCAGAAGAACTTTCTTTATTATTTCTTTTAGTATGAGTTCACTTGTGGTAAATGGTGTCCATTTTCATTTATCTGTAAGAAGTGTTAATTTTGTCTTTATTTTTGAAACATATTTTGGCCATGTGTAGAATTCCAGCTTGTAATGTGTTGTCCCCCCCAACCATTTCAAGGGTATTCCACCATCTTCTGGCCTGTTTTTGATGAGAAATCAGTCATAATTTTTTCATTGCTCCTCTCTATGTATTATGCCTCTTCTCTCCTGATTACTTTTAAGATGTTGTTGCTGTTGTTGTTGTTGTTGTTGTTGTTGTTGTTGTTTTAGGATTTTAA